CATATAACTTTTTAAGACTTCTACTGCATATAATTCAGTACAGCTTCAGAGTAGCCTACATCTGCCAAAGTAAACATCAGGATTTTGGCCGCTAACTCAGTAGCATATTTTGGCATAGTTTTTGCTGCCCCCTACCCCCACCCCCCAAAAAAAATCTAAGTATTAAGATCAAGTGAAGAGGAGTGTGGACAAGGCAGACTTGTAAGAAACACTTGGATTGAAGTTATCACAGGAAGAAGTAAGGGAACTAGACAAGACAGAAGATACAGGAATGCTTTCTTCTCTTTTATCCTGTTCTTTGAGCATTCATCTCAGTGCTATTTCCAGCAATTTTTGTTTAATTTCTAAATGCTATTACATGACTGTAGCCGCCTTCTGTCTCACTTCCATTGCAAGCATTTTTTCTTAAATATATAGCAATTTGATCTTCCTCATATGATTTATAGTCTTATCCTTCATACTTAAAGTTTCTAATCCTTTTCACCATTTTTTGCTATCTTTACTGCTTTGAAATTTGCTACAGTTCATTTTTTAAAACAAGTGATAGATAAAGGATAAATATCCAGTGTAGTATTTTAATTGGAAGTATCTCCATCCCCTGCCTTCTGGTTATTTCACAATGAATAATATGGACGAGTATTTTTGGAAGAAACATTAAGTAAAATAAAAGGCATTTTCTACTCGCTATAAGCATAAAAGTGGTAGATAGAGACGGGTACAAATGATAGGGAAAATTAACCTCTAATGTAAAAAAAAGAGTTGACTATTAATTTTTATTCAAGCTGACCCTTGATCATTACTCAGTGCTTTTCCTATCCTGAAATTCTGGAAATAACATAACCCACCTATTTCTAAAATTGATCAATTATTGTAATGCTCTAGTTAACATATAGAAGGAATAAAAGTAAAGTAACTCATAATAAAAAAAGTAATATGCATATCAATGTTTAAAGTGCTCAGGAAAATCTACATGAGAAGGCATAATACAGCAGGCAGGTACTTGGTCCTGTGCCTAGAATCACCACAAATTCGACAGCTACAAGCGCAGGCCAGTGCAGGTGTTCTCACCGGCAACTCAAGTCCCATGGGCAGTGATGCCATCAATGATGAGGTTTTCTCATATGGCACACCACTCTTGGTGATATTCTGAACATACATACAGTACAAAATCTCTTTGATTTAAATGGCAGTTGGATCATGCCAAAAATACTTTGCAATTATTTATTAAACAGATCTAAATTCTAAGCCCATCTTATTACAAATAGGTTTTTCAACTACATGAATAGCTGGGGGAACGCTTAAAAACCATGTGGAATGCAGAACAAGTCATCATGCTGTACTGCCCTGCAAACTGCAGGATGTCCACCATCCCAGGTCTCCCCACCCCCAATGCCAATAGCTCCTTGCAGTCATCTTGACCACCAAAAATATCCCTACAAATTTCCAGAACGCCCCCGAGGCCATTACCATGCCCATTAAGAACCACTGATAGACACTGAGCAAAGGCACTTTTTTGTAATGAAGCACTGAGATCCTATACATTTTGTTTTCATACTGAATTGATTTTATGGATTAGGAAACAGAATATGCCCCAAGAGTGACTTATCCAGTAAAAACAAACCTTCCAACCCAAAAGGATACAAAAACCATTCCCTGAGAACATGGAAGGTATTTAATATAAGAAACCCCTTTATTCCCTACATTGTGGGACCCTCTCTAGATTAGGCAAAGGGAGTTTGAAAAGTGAAAAGAAGTTCACAATCCGTAAAGAAGAGAACCTTTTGATAAGGGTAAAGCTGTGGTAGAGGAAGACTAGACTTTGACTATCAAACCATGTCTATCTCTTTCTAATAGCATGGTTAGTGCTAAATGGATTAGTTTCCAGGTTACTTACACATCATTGCAGCTAATTAATAAATGGCTGCTATTTTGATTGGCCTAAACTTTCACCTTTCGTATCCTTTTATGAATAGCTAATGTAATGGCCTAGTGTTTCTGTCCTGATGGAGTAATTTCCTGTAAATTGTTGTGTGCTTTAAGTACTAAAAAGCTGCTCTCAAAAGTTTCCATTCTCTAAGCATTGCTATGGGTAAACATTCATATTAATTTGTAAATATTTTAATTGAACTTTGGCCCTGAATTTTTGAAAATGGTCTCCAAACACGTTCTTGAAATGTGTATATGCAGCCCTAGATGGATATGCAATTACCTAAATTGCAAGTGCTATTTTAAAATTATTAAAAATCTCCTTTCAAAAATTTTGGAAAGAAAGCCATTTTTCTATAAAATATTCATGTCACCACTCCTTGGTTTGGGGAGAACTCTCCCTCCCCAACGCCCATCTCTGTAATTCAGTTTCTAACGCACCTTGCTTATTACCTTTACTCCTAGCAATCTTCCTTCCTCTAACAGAGCACACATTCTCATTATTTATACTCTTAAATTGCAAGGGTAAATGTTGAGAGCCAGTGCAGATCCTTAGTTATCTCAGGGACTTGTGTCTTTTCAGCCCAGGACTAATCAAGCAGAGAGTCATCATAAGCTAAAACTAAAAAGCCTTTGTAGTGATTTTTATCACCAGGGAAATTTGTTCATCCTTCAGAAAGACTGTCACCAGAAAAGAAAAAAAAATAAAGGAGTTAAAATTGCTTCAGACCATTGACTCCTTAGGTCCCTCTAGATTCATAGATTGAATTGGTTTTCAAGGGGTGGGAGGAACTATGAGAAGAGTTCCCTGAGAAAGCATACAAATTGATCATAGTCTTGGTAACACTAGAAAGTGTGTAAGTGTGATCACTGTGGAGGAAATGCCAAGTGAGCATGGAAGCATGGGAAAAGAGACAATTAACACCTTTTCTTTTCTTATTGTGTTTTGGGATTGCCATGTAGTATGCGTCTGAGAAAAGCCTTTTAAAAAGAAGAAATATAATTGATTTTAAAATATTTTATCATTGTAAGCGCATTTAGTAGTTATTGTTGAAATGAAAAGAGTTGCAGGCACTATAGAGATAGTGACAGGCATTTCATAAACCTATCCAGAAGCTGAGCCCCCTTCTAGATATGCCCACAGAATATTATTTAAAGTTGATGTGTCTGAGCATTTGTAGAATGCTCACTTGGGTTTGGAGAATATAAATGCCTCCAACTTCAAAGAGACTTCTTCAAGAGTGTCATCTGAATAAATCAGTGAAGATTATAATAATAATAAATATCTGGATGTTACATAATTTTAAAGAACTTGAAAATTTACACATCTATTGCTTCAAACAGGCATATGTATAAATTTTTTCCCCAAGAATTATATTAAGGCTTGTCAAAATCCAGTCCGTCACTTTAGGATTTGCCAGGATAAACCTATACTCATCTCTCTCTCCCATGGAGTAACATTGAATTTTGCCCAAAATGAGTAAGCAAATAGAGAAATGACCTCATTTTTTAGTCTAAATACTGTAGTATTGGGAGATATTTCTCAAGAATTTAACTTCCATGCTGGACCTTAATTCCAAATGCAGGTTTATAAGACCTATCTGCAGAGAAGAGGACAGAAGCATCCTTGTAAGGGCACCTATAAAGAGAGGGGTTCTCTAGTAGGGCCAGCTCCCACAGTTAAGTCACATGCACAGATTGTAGCTTTCTGCTCTCTGGTCGACTGCAGCCATAGCATCCTTATTGTTGTAACTCCCAGATTGTGATACTGTCACAAAACTGTTGCTAGGCAACAAATGTGGTTACCAGGTCTCAGCGAATAGCTGAAGGGGAAAGCAAAGTGTTGCACCATTGTAGAGTAACCATAGCAATGACCTACTATTACAGACTAAAGAATTATCATTAACAATGTTAAAGTATCAGACAGAGGCCCTGAATCTGGAGACTTCCAGGCAGTATCTCTCTGCATAATTGAGTGATCTAGGAAGAGACTTCACCTGTCTCAAAGCTACTCACTTATTATTTCTATGGGAGAGTCTTAGTAATTATTAATTTTATTTTCAAAAAATTGTCCAGTTATGAACCTACTGTTAAAATGATATAAGCTATCACAAAGTCAAAAACAGATTAATGTCCTCATCTGTAATGTCTACATCAATGTTATTTTTTGCCTGTTAAACTGAAGGTAGGTTTAACTTGAAAAATACTGTACATTAGTATTGAATTGAAGCCACAGAAAGAAGCTGCAGTAAAATAATCCCGTAAATTGACAACTAAACCTGAATTTTCTAAGTTGAATTCCTCCAAACAAAACAGGAGCCCTGGATGCTTTTTTGGTAGTCACCGCTTTGAAAGCTTTATTTTTAGCTTTTTAAAAGCTGCCTCCTACAATTTGTAAAGATGTAGCCTAGGACACTTCTAGCCAAAGTCTCTTTTGCATCTGGTCCTTCATTAAGCATCACGTACAATTTGGTCGCAGTGACCTCACTGAGGCAATCATGTCTAACAGCACGCTTTCGGGAGAGGCAAGAAAAATCCGATATGTTTTCTTTATTTTCTCTTGGGAAGCAAAGAAACGTGGGTGCTGTGGGGTGGGTTCAGAAGCCCGATTCCGCGCACAGGGGAAACCAATCCTCGCGCCCGCGCGGAGCCTGGGGAAGTGGGTGGTTTCGAGGCGGGAGAGGGAGTGGCCCTTCCTGCCGTGCGCCTCGATTGGCCCGGAGGGGCTGAGGTCCCGAAGGCCGCCTGGCCGGGCCCCGGGCGACCCGCGGAGAAGTCCGCGCCGCGTCCCCGTGCCGGGGGCGGGACGGGGCTGAGGTCCGAGGAGGCGGAGGGCCCCGGGCGCCGCCTGCGTATTCGCGGATCTGGCGGACGTCAGCTATTCCTCTGAGCCCCGGGGCAAAAAGGACCGGCAGGTACAGGTGTGGTCCGGCAGGGCTGTGCTCCCGCGCGCGGGGCTGGGCTCCGGGGCGGGGGGCCGGCGGCCTGCGCCTGGGCTCGGCCTCGCGGTCGCCGCCCCACCCGCGCGGGCCCGCGGCGCAGCCCCCTCGTAACCGCATCTGTGTTTCTTGCAGGCACCGACCGTCACGAGCTCACTTCCTGGAAGAGCTTCCCCTCTATTTTCAAATTCTTTACCGAAGCCGCTGAGGCCAAGACCAGCTCCCTCAAGCCGGCGCTGACGCGGCGCTCGCACCGAATCAAGCACGAGGAGCTGTAAGAGGAGCGCGAGCGAGACGGGGGAGGGGACGCCAGGACCCACACTCGAGCATGCATCCACCTGGCTCCTGACTGCTCGCTGTCGGCGAGCAGACGCCCAGCCCCTCATTAGATTGTTTTCTTCCCAGAGCACAGGGTCGTGATATATACATCTAAATAGCGTTTTGCATTATTTCTAGATGAGTGCAACTGTCAAAGCAATACGGGTTCACTGGTCGTGCTTCCTGCGGGCTGAGCTCGGGCTTCGCGCTGCCCGTCAGCGCGCAGATTAAGGCTGACAGCGCCCTGCTCCGCGCGGCCGGCGCGTCCCTAATTGCCCTGACGGAGCCCGCGCCGGCCCTGCGGGGCGAGCGGCGTCTGCGCGGTCCTACCGCCCGCTGCAGCGCAGCCGCTGCTCCTCTACCCCCGGCCCCCCTTAATCATGTCCATTTTTTTCCTCTCGAACAGAAGCAAACTTTTATTCAAACTTGCCTTTTTTAAGTAGGTTTTTCTCTGCAGGCGTCTTATGCCTCTTTTTTTTTTTTTAAAGGAAGTTTTACCCCCTCACACCCAGAAAAGCCAAATTTAAATTCAGAATTTGAATGCCATGATATACTATGTAGTTTTGGGAGCGCAAATTGTTCTCTCCCTAACGATCTATTTTAATTTCGAGACCAGACGAAAAACTTTGCATAAATCTATAAAGTACCAAATCCACATTACCGCTGAAAATCCTTGCCAGTGGAATGTGAGATTTTTACACAAGTCTCTAATTTCATAAGAGATTGTTTGAACCAAAACGTGATGAGCAAGCCCCCTTTTCAATGAAATTTACAACTTTATCATTAGAACTGACTTTACTTTTTAAATATATAACGTATATTGAGTGGCATAGTAATTTAGATAGCGTGCTTAGGATTTTGCTTTTTAAATCTTAATGTAGAGGACGTTTGTTGCTGTTAATCCTAGCTAGAATAAGCTATTCTGATCTTTCATGGAGTTAGACCCTTTAGGGATAGAATTTTTTTTATTGTCATCAGGAAAATGAACCTGTGTTCTCTTGAGCCTTTTCCTTCTGAAAGGCTAAGTGGGACTAAAATGAATTCTTTTAGTTTTCTGCTCCAACAGAAAGGGAAAGACCTGGTGTGAAACATTTTCTCCTCTCAATCCAATGATATATTTTTTAATAGTACACTTCCTCTATAGGGTTTTGCCCTACAGTTGCAACAGTTAAGTGTTTTAATCCAGCTAAGATCTGGTCAACACTGTGAAATACGAGAGGTAAAATAAGTTAAGATTTTGCTGACTTTTACATTCAAATATTAAATCTTAACATTATCAATTTTTAATTACTTGAAGAATTTAATTACCTAGTGAAGATTCTGTTTCTAATAGATGAGGATCTGAATTTAATATGCAAGCTTTTTAAAAGTGTATGCAACAATATGCCTGCCTTATTTGAGACCATCATAAAAATGTACCCAAAATGACTAAGAACTGTATGACTCCTCAGAAAAAAATTAAATAACCACCTCATGGATAAAATGTTTTTATATTATGAACCGATTTCAGCAAGGTTTAAAGCTGATAATATCTCTGCTTGGTATATAAGTACATTAATTAGTTTTTATAGATTTAATGATGGCAGATTACAGTGATCCTGTTTCAGTAGTCATATATGCATATATTTTTATGTTATTTTAGCAGGAACAACATAGGAGGAAAAATCAAAACATCATGTTATCCAGTGACTGGACAGTTTGACATGTATAACCTTACCAGTGTCAAGCCCGTTGCTCTTCACTCTTTTCTGTTTTAGAAGTGACGGTGAACTGTATAAAAGTACACCTTCCATTGAGAGGATTTGAGAATTGAGGTGGATTGAATATATTTTTCAAAGTATTATAAATTGTGTGGTGTTTTCAGTACATGAAAATGTTCGCAGGAAACTAATTTCGTTGCATTTTTAAAAATCAGCACTTGTGCAATGCTAAATTTGTGAAGCTTCTGCAGCTGAATTAGAACAAAGTAAATATGCTCAGCTTACAAATAAAATCACTCCTATTCCTTCACTTTGATTTTCTCACCTCTCTTTTTAAAAACCTTTACTTTTAACTAGAGTAAATCACTGTTTAATTGCCTTTAATACTTTAAAACTACTGGGTTGTTGGGCCTTATTTAACTATCTATAGACAGCTATTTGCAAACTTAAGTTGTGTAAATGTAATTTCTACTTGTGGATCTGAGCTGTAGCCACCCGGAGAGAGCTAGGCAAACCATCCCAGCCCTCCAACTGATAACCGATAAGGTTCCTTGTAATGTAGGATTTTTTAACCTGTTGATTATGGGTCTGTTGGCATAACTGTAATAATATTATTCACCTCAATTTTCCTGCAGTAACAACAATCAGTTGGTAGTAAGTAGCCCGCCTGCCTGGAGGTGACAAGTGTTAATATTTCTGCTCTGATGTTCTCCTCCCCATTTTGGTTTCTTCAGACAGGTTTTTCGATGAGTAGAGATTTAAAGTTAGAATGTGGTTTGTTTTGTTTTAATTATATACTCCGTCCTTAGAGCAAATGGAATGGGAAACAAGGAGTTGTTGATAAATCTAAAATACAAAATAGTCCTGTTAAAACTTAAAAGCCAGATATTGGCTTTGGAGCTCTCTAAAGGTACATAACCATGCAGCCATTAAAAGTTTTTATGGATATTTGAAGGGGGAAGGAATCCGCTTGTAATAATTGTTCTGTTCTCAAGTTTCTGCCTCATGCTTCAACCTAGATTGCATTATTGTTTATACCAAAAAAATTTAAAAAGTAAAGCACAGGAGTTTCCTATATATTATATATTTCTGTTTACCATTTTAAAATAAAAACAATTTTCTCAACAAGCAGCGGCGTCTTGTTCTTGCTCCAAAGTTTATTTATTCATGTGTAGGGTTTAATGAAAGCAGAAACTTAAAAAGAACGATGGGGTAGCATTTCATCAATATTTTAAACCTTATAGCTGCTTATCATTACTATTACTGTTACTGTAAGGTAATATCCTAACTCTATCTGAGTCACTCTTTCACTTGGACCTTCCACAAAGCTAACATTTTTTTAATACATTTCTTTTTAGTATCTAAAATACCTTCTTAGCTACAAGGAAATTTGAACCTGTTGCTAAACTGTCGTTTTATAAAAATACACTTTAGTATACAGTAAACAATTGTGTTTTCCAAAAGGAGTCTGATGAGATTAAATTGTTCCCAAATCCCTCTGTAAATCCCTGATGTATTACCACATCTAATCTGAAAATGTTTATGTTTATTTTACAGCTTTTCCTTCTTTAAAACCTATAACTCCTTTGAGAGAGTGTGGGTGACAAATTATGTTAACTGTATTATCAGTGCTAATAAGTTAGAGTTTTTTCATGTTTCTCTGGATTATCTGGCGTTCCAGTCCAAACACATGTGTGTCTCCTGTCATTATCATAGTTTGTAACTCTAAACTGACATGCTCATTTTGGCATATGTAATACTGATTCATTTAACAAAGATTACTATTGCAAAAAAGTTGAAATTTTTTCTCAAAAACTTTCCCTATGCTTCTGAAGAAAAAATGTCTTTAAATAAATGTGAGACATTCTCATCTTTGAAATATGGGTGGCCAAAAAAAGGGAGGATAATACTGGTGGTTATTTTATGATTACTTATTAGGGGCTGTAATAATATAAAATAAAAGACTCCAGGAGGTACTCCCTTTCAAAAATTGAATACTTTCCTTCCTTCCTTCCTTGTATAGAGTGACTGAGTGGGAGTCTCTTGAATTGTTCGTCTTCCTTTTATCTAATATTCTATTAATCTCCAAAAAGATCAGTTTGAGTCTGGGAAAGGGTTTTTAATCAACACTTCACAGAGCTTAAAGCTACCCTACCTAACGCGTGAGCTTTGTCAGGCGGTTTTGGATTTGAAGCATTGCAACTGTCATGCACTGTACTAAAAGTAAAGAAGGTGCACCAAGTGGAAGACGTTGAAAAGAGGGAAATAGCACAAAGTCGATTAACGGAGATCCGAGAATAGAAGTAGCCATCAAAGCATTCCTGCGTTTATCTCAAAATCTATGTAAGGTTAAAAAAAAAACAGTAACAATGATAGTTTTAAACCTCACACTTAGGAGGGATGAATGTTGATTTAATTGATTCATTTGGATCAATGTTTTTAAAGTTTCACACCACTGATCTTTCATGTAGTGATGTCTTTAGCAGTCAGTGGTCTGACATGAGCCTTCTCAGATTTCATCAGTGGGGCTCTCCATGACCCCTGAAATTATGCAACAGCCTGTATGATGGTAACTTTGGAACTGAGAGACCTCGATGCCAAAGAGCATGGTTAGATTGAAGAACTCTTGTTCATTCTTAGCACAAAGGTTTTAGAGGAGTGGTAATTGTAAATGAACCATAAAGGTAAATTCACGAAATACTATATAGTGATCTTTAATTGCTAGATAGGAGAAAATTGTCCTCAAAGTTTGACCATTAACCTGGATATCACACAGTGACCAGTATGTTCCCCTTGAATATAAAAAGCTTGAAAATGGACATTTGACTTAACCCATGAGGCCTTCCAGACAACTTTTCCCAGTCCTTTGCCTTGAGATTTGTCAAAAAAACTTTCACTATAATTTTGTATTGTTGGAGTTCAGTTCTATTTGAAACAGACATGAAACATGTTTCTAGAAAGAAATCTAGAGAGGCCCTGCATCTTTCTTTCCAGATCACTCAACTTTTCCTTCCTTGGCTGCTACATCGAGTAATATGGGAGACTGTCATAGGTAAAATAATGTGGAACTGTACTTGGTTACCAGCCTGCAGTACCAATACAAAGCATCTGAAATGAAAAGACAACCAACACCCTAAGAATGATATGTCTCTTTTTAAAGTTTACAATTTGAATAATGAACTTGGATAGAAACTTGGCAGGAAAACAAACCATAGCACCATCACATCACCAACCATTTTCACTTTTCTGTCCAATTTCAGCGTGCATGTGTTTGTGAGTATTTCACTAGATCAGTGACAGCTCTTTATTTGCATAATTATATGCTCTGGTCTGAAGAGAAAACTAACCCCCAAATTTCATGGGTCACCAAACTGCAACAATCAATGTTTTATCACGTATGCTAAGCAAAATCTAAGAAGCTATATGAAGTTTCTTGGGGAGTTTTTACTCCTCAGAAAATTAAAGAGTTTTCCTCCCCTGAATAGATTCAAAATCTTTCCAAGTTCTTTGTAACTGAATTCTGTTTGAAGGCAAAACTAGAGATTAACATGTAGATCTGGATCTTAAACTCACTAGCATTACTTCAAAGTGGCTTAAGAAGAGCAGCATTTTTGGAACATTAAACTTTTAAATTCTAGGTACTGTCCTTCATTCTATGAGGAAAAATATTTGTCATATTATGATTAGCCAAAATGAAGTCTGAATTAACTACAATTGAATATAAATCTCATTTATTTCTCTGAAATATCTCAGGGTTTTTTTAAAGACCTAATAGAAAAATATGTATATATGCATATATGTGTCTGTATGTGTACCACATACATATACATATTCACGCATGGGGTACATATGCCCATTCCACCAGAAATGGATGACATATACAGTATGTATATGTCTTTTCAGTGCCTGTAACATAGTAGGTACTCAATATATGGTGGTCACCAGGATTGTTTGTAAAATTTATTTTCTTTTAAATAAATTTTTCATGTTCAAAATCTACAAGGCATTGTAATAAATAGTTTAATGCCTCAAGTTCATCTGTAAATTCTCTGTATGTAATGGGTATTTGTGTGTAAAGTGGCTTTATTTCATTAAAGAAAAAATTATTTAAACTTGGTGTCTTTAGTTTGTAGGCAATCTGCCAGACTTGAAATACAATAGAGCATAGAGACACATGCAGAGAGTGACTTTGTTATGGAGTTATTAAAATCCTGGAAAATATGACTTTACCTAGGCTGTTAAGGAATACACTAGGTGCATGATTTAATTATACTGTACAGGATTTAGGTATGAATTTCATTTAAAAGCATATAATGCAATACCTTTTATTTGAAGTGATCTGTTTGTAATATATTAACTGTTTATCAGTCATCAAGAAAAACTAGAAAAACACAATGAGGGGGGAAAGTTCAAGAATTGCATAATTTTGAAGTATTTTATTGTCTGTCTTGAAGAAGGAAGAGAAGTCTTAGATCAGGTATCAGAAACTTCCTATATTTCAGTGAAAAAGAAACCAATTTCTCCCGTTTTTAATTAAAGTTGAACTACAAGTGAAAGATTTTCCTTCCCTTTTAATCTAAAAACTCAAGCATCTGTTTATAGGGAACACTATCCACAGTCACACCTCACCTTCTTCCTGAAATGTTCACCTTGTTATGCTCCCTGTTGGGCCACCCCCATCATCTACCTTCCCAGAAACGGTTGTTTGGACTGAAGATCTTGTATTCCTCTAGGTGAAAACTCCTCAAAATTGAATCTGTAAAAAACAAAGTTTTGCATTTTTATCAAACAAAATGATTTGGTAAGCAAATGAGTTAGTACTGCGGTCTATGCAGTAAAGACTGAAAAATAAAGAGAAGAATCCTAGATTATTGTTTAAAAGTTTATAAGTTAAGGACCTATGTACCTCTTGAGTTAGATTAATTTGCATTTTATTTTTTCAGGTATAAACTCTTGAAAGTAATACACAATATGTATGCCTAATTACCTTTTTTTTCTCTGTTTGACCTTTGTGGGCGCCTGATTATGAGTTTCAAATAAGGCTCTCAATTTTCTACTCTACCTGGGACACAGAAAAATCTGTTATTTCCCACTGAATTCCACACATGAAGGGATTGACCCTATAGCTGAAAGGCCTAGGTTTTCTCTTTTTATAATTTTCACTTCTTTTGGCTCAAGTGCCACTTAATCCCATTGTGTCTTTACAAATACAAAGAGGTATTTCTGATCCAGTTCATCTTCATATACCTCCAAATAATTTTCCAAAAGCTTGGATTTTTAAATCATAATTAAATGGCTTTTTTCCAATAAATGTTCATACTTTCTCTGGGTATTTAGATAACCAGGGCTTATCAACTGAAGAAATATTGATAGTTTGCTTTGGGGGGCTGTGTGTGTGTGTGTGTGTGTGTTTTACTTTTGCTTTGCCTCAATAAATTACTTAATATCATCCCCTGGAATAACCAACTCTAAAAATAACCCTAGCACAGAGTGTCACAATTTGGCTTTCATGCAGTTTTGAAAGAAAACCATTAAAATTGCATTGATCTCACAAATATTGATCTAGTGCTTGATATCAAATATCAAATGAGATGCTGTCATTTGCTGCTGATCATTGTGTCAGCTGTTTGAATTCTTCTTTCCCTTCTTCATTGTCACATGGATTCAAGTTACCGAGGCTAAGATTTTTATGATTAACACATTAAGATAATTTTTTTGTTTCTCACATTTCTGGTTTGACCAAACATAGTATTCTACCTGAATTTTTTTGTCACATGATTTTATATGTGTGTGTGTGCGCACACTTTTGTAAAAGCATGTATTTTACACAAGTGTGTAAAAACATTTTTTTTCAAAAGTGTGATCCATCTACTAGGTAGGCTATGGTTCTATTTAGTTCTTTATCCTCATTTTTAAAAAATTCTTATCTGTATCCTGCTTTCTTTCTGGTCACCTGTCTTAAGAAATCAAATTTGTATTAAGAGGTTGCAGTTGTTAAGAGTATGTTTTAGAACTTAGAATGAAGTCTTAGCCATTTTAAGTTTACACACAAACACAACAATAAGTAAATTGCTCCTTTTATTCTAATGACAACATTTGGCCAGCGTGGAGTTTAGAGAACTATTTAAGTAAAATTGGATCTATATATTTGTAATACTTTCTCAAACTCCAGCTAACTCATGCTGTGCTTTTGTATCATATCAGATCTGGAAATAGCCAAGTGCCTTTGGAGATGTTTAAGGTCACAAATCACCCTTTTTCTTTCTGCCTTCCTCTTTGCTTTGAACATCAAAAAATTGATGGTTACATCACTTTGAAATATGGAACATTTTAAAGACGAGACCATCCTATAATGACCAGTTAATGCTGTTGTCCGACTACGCAGTACAGGCTGAGAAATAGAGCACAACCCTTCTAGAGTACCGTTTAAATTGTACATCCACATTCATTCGTGGGGAGAAAAAAAAATCCTAGCCGCGCGAGTTGTTGCTTTCTCGTTCCCTTTTTACACCTGAGCTCTGTTTGGGTACAGCGAAATGAAGCCGCGTTCTTCCCAGCACCATGGACAGCGCTCAGCGCGCCCCCACCCTTCCCTTTCCCCTTCGCCAGAACCCCGAAGTTCTGGCCCTCGCCTGATTCTTCTCTCTGACCACTCCCTCACCATAGGAAACTGGCTCTCGACATATTAGGATCGCAGCCCAAAGCGACAATGAGTTTAAAAAGTGTACATTTTGTGAGTGGGCAACCTTGCTTGCTCCATGCCCAGTGTTACCAGGGTGCCCCAGAGTTGACACACCATTTGCCTGCTCCCCGATTTTGCATCCACTTTACGATGAAAGCAGAGCCACTCTCAGTCAATTTTGTGATAGAAGTCTGACCCCCCACAACTTTTTGGGGGGCGCCACCTTTTTACCACCACCCCCGTAGCTGGCCAGATCTGTACCAGCTCCGGTTTAAGAGGTCTGTCTGTACTGGGAGCACATTCTCCCTGGGCTGGAGCTCTCGGTAGCAATAGACCTGTGTTCCAGGAGATGTCTGCCCAGCACACCCGACCCTTGGTCTCACGGCTCTGCGCGTGGCCGGAGCTGTCGGAGCCGTCTGGTGCGCCCAGGTGCTAGCTAATCACAGCCCGAAGGGAGGTAGCTGTGCAGCGGGAGCCTGGCCGGCAAGCTACAGAGCCTGACAACAACTTATTTGACAGCACTAAAAGGGGGCGCGTCTGGTTCAATACCCACTACCACTTCTTCTCCTACTCGCAGACCTCAACTTCAAGCTCCAAACTTCCACACGTCCCCCAGTTTGGCTTTCTTTTTTTACTGCCGTTAAGCAAAGTTCAGTAAAGGAAGATCACTTCCGCGTGGTATCCTTTTCATTGAATGGTCTCCCTGGAAACATTTAAGTCACCACTCCTAAGTCAAGACTAATTTTTAAAGATTTCAAATTACACCTTGCTTTATTGAAAGTCACCTCGCTTGTTGGGCTTTGAGTGAAATCTCTTCCCTCCCGTTGGAGCCCTATTCTAGTCATCTACTCTCTTGAACTGACTTTGAAGGTGGAAGTATAATGTTTAGAGCAGGGGAGACGGCCAAAAACAAAATTTTTATTAAATATCAATTGTACAAAAATAATTTCAAACCAACTTAATCCAAACTTTACCAGAAAGGGCCAGGAAAGTGAAAAAGGAACAGAACCTTGGTATCTTAAGTTAAGGCATGTCTTTCCTATAAAATAGCCGTAATAAACTGATGTCAAATTGCTTTTGTATAGTAACACGGATTACAATACATTTCAGGATAAAAGTATTCTCTATTTGGCATAATATTATAATGAAAATTTTCCGTGATTCCTCAGTTTAGCAATTTAGTTCCAGACCACTGTATTTTAGATCCCTTAAGACATACAAATAGTTTATTAACTATTTTACAAATAGTTTTTAACTATTCACAATGTAGTCTTTCTCATAAAGTGTTGCTCACATAAAGTTTTTGCCCCTTTTTAGGGTGCAAAGTCACTGCTGAGTTCTCCCCAAAGATTCTTTTTCCTCATAGTTTGGTCATTCTTAGGGTCACAAGAGTCGTTTGGCTCAAATATTAAGACATGTCTGTGCTATTGGAAAAACTCCGTCATGCCGGGAGCTATTTGAACTAGCGGCATGACCCTCTTACGATAACTGGGGACAACTCACGTTAAGGCAGTTTGGGAGTTCCAATACGTAGGGTCGTAAAGGGGACGGACCTGTTGAATAATAGTGATGGAGATTCACGTATTCTAGACTGGGGTCGACCTCCCAAGATCCTAATTAAAATATCTCCATAATGTTTGCATGCTTTTTGCTGGTATAATTTTCAGGAGCTTCATCCATGAATTGAGCTTCCATCTCTGGATAAATGGTATTTTGTTCTCACCTTACGGAGATTCGGGAGCAAGCGAAGGAATCAAGTGTGGGGTGGGGGGTGGGGAAGACACGGGTCTTTTCTTTGTTGGTGCAGAGGAATTATGAAAATTTGGGGGTGGAATAGATAGCACTTACTGAACTCCTGGGTGCCTAGCATTTGGGTTTTAGGGAATCTCCTTCACTGGGGATTTTCCTTATGACCTGGGGGATTGGGTAGTTAAGATCTTCATTTAAATAATCAGGAATTTCTTACTTTAAAAAAGTGTATTCTTGACAGTTTCCAAATGACTTTTCTGGGCTATTCTAAATCAATCAGAAATTCCCAGAGCTGGATGAATATTTCAGGACCACTTTCCCAGAGGAAAAAAAAAATGTGGAGAAGAGAAATACAGGAAGCTCATTTAAAGAAAAATAACAAATCAAAACATTGAGTGATACTGATTAGCCCCCTCCCCCCCCCAAGGAGATTCTCTAACGATGTTTGCTCACCACCTGTATGTATTTTGTGATACTTTAAACCATTTACAGCGTAGATAGCCATCCCCCCTTTTACCAAGCCTTTCCTTTAATTCCAACTTTGGTTTTCTAGAGGATTTCTACTGTTCCATCCATTTTTCTCCCTTTAAAGTCTTTTAAAATGAGTTCCCTTGTCCCTTTCTCATTTGTCAATGTCAAATATACACTGCCTATTTAGTTAAGGAAAAGTGTGTATTTCATATGTTATTAAAAAAAAAGAGCTTCTTAGAAATCAGTAATCTCCTAAACACTTGCCAAGACCCCTTGGGGAAGGAAGAAATGTAAACAATAAGTACCAAACTTCACCATGACAATGTTGGTTAAAATCTGCGGGATGATCTCTCGAATGCGGGTAGGTAAGAGCGATCAACTGCAGACGGACGGGACTCCCGCGATTACACAGGAAGGGCCAGAGGTCTGATGGCTCACTCCATCCTCTGCAACTTGCCCAGGGAGCTAGCTATCTTGGAAAGTCGGGAGTTAATTCAAAACTTCCTTATAAAGACATCTTAGTAGCCAGACTGGTCTTCAAATAATTGAGCTGGGAGATGACTGGATGACCACAGGGAGGTTGCAAAACACAGCTATCCCCATTAAAAGAAAACACCGTGATTTCAGTCTTTCCTAACATAATTACAGGCGTTGCTAACACTCCTTTATTTTGTCTCATGCTGTTAAAAAAAAATATCCTACTCCTCTGGCAAATCAAACTTTAAAGGAACTTTAAAATAAATTCAACCATTTATTTTCTGCTTTTTAAAGTTAATAGTGTATGTGAGGGAATACACAAAGCATTTAAATACCTGAGTTACACATTGGCTATCTAGCTGTTTAACTTTAGAGGGAAGAACACACCTAGTTTTTAACTTAGCCACTTTTAAAACTATATGTGTTCCTAGAAAGTAATACCTGATTGGATTCAATTTGCAGGAGATTCTAATCTGGGCTCTCAAGAAGTTAATGAAATATATGAAATTTCTCAAATTAACTGTTGGGAGGGATTTATAAGCCTTTGAGGATCCGCTGAGCCACTGGAAGCACAACTCACTCAAATTTGAATTCTCATGATCAACTTTCAACCCTGAGAAAACGAGAGCCATTTGCTTAACTTAATCTGGAACATATGTTTGCACCAGTAGCAGGTTTTTTGGTGTGTGGCTGGGGCTGATCAAGTTGTAAATTTTCCGCTTTAGGTTTTCAGCGCCTGCTAGTTTCAGCCTAACACCTAGAGAGAGACTTTGCGGGGCTCTTCACCAAAGCAGCCAAAGTTTAACGAAAGGTTTCCAAACCACCCACCCAGCTCTGAGTGTTATTGATTTTCCCAGAGGTAGAACATATCTATACAAATTGGTTCTCTAAATCCTAAAAGCAAGTAACAAGTTAAACTCTCTTTTGTTAAAGTGTTTGTAAAATATCTATATAGAGGTTTTCTTTCTTTCTTTTTTCTTTCATTTGCCTTCTTCACCTGCAACCTTTTCTTTAAGGGACACACAATGGTATGAGAGAAGATAGGTGCTGTGAAAGTGACATCTTCATTGGATAAAACAATGTACAGGTCCTTTTGGCTCATCTTAATTTTTTTTCCATCAGAAATTTAGAACTATTGATTTTCTGTCTCATTGTGCTTCAACACAAAGGAGTTCTAAAAAAAAAAGTGTTTTGGATATCTGAGACGAAACACCCAATCATTAAAATAGACATTCGAATCCAGAAATCATCCTTCACGTGAAACAAGCTTTGTGGTGGCTTGTATTACTAATATTAAAACACATCTCTTTGTGGACATGAATTTTCGTATTTTGGGCTTTAAAGGAAATATAATGATTATTAAATAAATTCATGATCTACCATAATGATAAATGAAAGTAATAAGTTCCCTAATATCAGCTTAATTAATCCTGAAATGGGAATGGGTAGTAATGGTGGGAGCTAGAGGTGGACCCTGGTGGTCAACTTAAAAGATAGTAAATATCCACCTGGACCTCCTGATTTATCTTCTTCCTAAAAACTTCAATCTGATTATTGGAGGAAAAGTTACCAAAGTGCTTTACAATGCATCAGAACGAGTAATTGGGACATAAATGTGCCCTAAATTCAGGTGCACAGTTTCACTAAATTTTATTATTATATGGATTAAGATGAGCAGCTCCCACTTGGACCCTCCCTTAATCAAAACGTGGACAAGGGTGACAAAAACAAGGGCAATAATAACATTACCAGCACTATGCTAATCGAATGCCCACAACTAGTTGAGAACAACGGTGCGAAAAAAGCCGCTTTAATTCTGCAATGGAAGGTCCTGAGACACCGAGCGCCATCTAGCAAGCAAAGTTAGAATCAAAGTGCGCCGGAGTCAAGTACAGAGCAGAGAGACCAGGAAATGGGGAAGCAAAGGATCACTTCAAGATACACTCGCTGCTACTTAACCACCAGCTCAGTCTCACCTGAGCCCAGCGCTGCCTGCAGGTTTCCGCTCTTCGCCCCCACCAGCCAGCTTAAACTTAACTACTGAGGTGAGACAGACCCTTTCTGCCTGCAGCGAAGGCTAAAGGACAGCTCCTCACAGGGCTGTTTATTGTCTTTAATTAGAACAAGCGGCCTTTCCGTTCCCACCCTTTCCACCCCCCAACCCCCCCCCCAAACAAGCCCAGTGTCTAATTCTGCACCTTCCTCTTCAGATGGGGACAAAGAGCGGCGCATGAAAGGCTCACCTTGGGCTGACATGACTCCCAGGGCTTCAGCGCAGAGGAAAGCTCATCGCTGGGAAGACCTATCTGGATTTGAGAAGTCATTCTGAGTTTGCAAGGCTGCCCAATCGCCTCCTGACAGGCAATCCGAGCTATCTCTGAGTGGCATAGGACACAGAGTTACTGAAGCCACTGACGGTCATGGAAACTGAATGCTGCCTTCCAAATATGAATAGTATAACTTTATTCTTCTCCAGGCAACCAGGTCTTTGATATTTCCTTTGGCTGAAGAAAAGTCAAAGGTAGCTAGAATGCTGCCAAATGCCCCTGTTAGTTTGTAGCTTGAGGGGAAAAACAGCACTCTTTCCATTTTTTTTTAGGTTTGAATGATGTTACCTAATTATATGAATATTCTGAGGAACTAGGTTAACAAAACAAAGCTTCTGGGATTGTGATCTAAAGAAAGTAAAGAATAATCTGCTGATTTCTGTATAGGCAAGAACTACACCAGTCGCTCTGAATTTAAAAGACCAAGAGGCTTCATCTCAATAATATATCTGCTTTCTAAAGTACTTCTGTTGAGTCTTTCTGGAATTTCATTTTAAGATTGAGGGGTGGGGTGGGACTCCAGTGTATATACATGCTAACCTTAAACTACTCCTAATTTCCTGCTATTGAATATTGCCTTTGTAATCTCATTGATTCACATTGTTCTTGGAATACAGAGCCAGAGCTTGGGTTTTCTATTGTTCTGTCCCCTGCCCCCACTGCAGACATACAATTTTTCCCAGTGAAGTATTTTGTAAAAAAATAAATAAATAACCACCAACCAAACAAACCTTTAAAAATGAATATTAAAGTATTCCAGTTGAGTTTTAAATGCTACTCCAATCTCAGGTTTGCTTCTCAATGAAAAGAGGCATAACAGATACGAAATAGCAGTTCTCTTTATTTTCTTACTATGCTATTTACTGTGCAAAACAACTTCATTCAGAATAAAGGAAGCGTTAGGTAAGAATATGCTCAAAGTGCTTATTAAAATATCTCCACAGGTTATAGGATTTACAGAAAAAAAATCCCACAAAAATCACAACCCACCCAACAAACCTAAGCCAATAAAGAGAGAATGTGAGAGCTTAGTCGACAATTTACAAAACATCTAAAACATTTCTATGAAACCTCGTTGTCTCCTTATGCCTGAAAACATATGTAAAAATCTGAAAATGGAAAGTAGATACAATTTACACTGTCTCTTCCTCTCTGAACTTCAGAGAAGTTCCCATGACAGTCTTGCCTCAGACCACAATAAAATGTTAACTTTTTGTTTGTGTGTGTGTGTCTTGTTAAATAGCACATTTCTCCCATCAAGGTCTTCTTAAACACGGAATCTTTTCCTAGACAGGGTACCCAGCTGTTTAATTTAACATTGATTTATTGCTTTTAAAAGTAAATTTACACACATGCCAGCAGCGCTCCTTTTTGTTTCCCCAGACTCTGAGATTTATTTTCTACTTAGCGCTTGTCTGACAAAACAATGTCCTTTAACTTTATTACACATCGATGAGGAAATCTGTCTTATTTTTGTTCGGATTTATTGCTGTGTTGCTTGTGGGGACTTTTGTGATCCAGAAAGGCTGAGGTCCAAAAAGAAATAGAAAATGAAACAGAGTTGATCACAAAATCATAATAAAAACCTAGAATATGGCCCAGCATATACCAACCTGCTGGGCGATGGGGAGGGGGCACAGAAGGAAGCTCCCTTGGTGAACACAGTTAACTAGGAAGAAAAAAAATTTTTTTTGTTTTAATGGGCAGGTAACATTTGAAAGTGAAGTAGCCAAATCTGGTTCTGTAAAATCTCCAAGTTCTTGGTTAAACTGCATTTGGAAGTTTAGGGCAGGGAGGCGAAACTGCATGGCTCCCCACCCCGTGGCTGCCTTACCTCCGTGCAGAACTCCCAATTACCACATGTTCATGATGACTGAGCCCAAGGGAATTAAGATGGACTTTGAAGCAGCTTTTACGGTACACTTCATCTACATTTGGGTTTTCTTTAGTTCTCATTAAAAGGGCCACTTTCTTCTTTTCATTAATATACTGTCTTTGTGTCCTTCATTTCACACTCTTTTAAAAAGTTCTCTCATCAGATCAAGTGCAAAAAGGAGGGGATGACATAATAACCATCATAATCATGATAACAACAACAAACAACTGGTACTGTGGGTTTAAATCTTTTTTTTTTAAAGAAGGTTTTCTTCACTATGAGGCATGGTCCTTCAACAAGTAAAGAAAAAAGCTGGGGTTGAGAATGGAGATAATAAAAGTGTTTCTAAGGTTAAATTATAAATACAAGCAGGCTTTTTAAAATGTGTGTGTGTGTGTGTGTGTGTGTGTGTGTGTGTGTGTGATGAGCTTTCCTCTCCCAAACTGATTTAGAGGCATCTATCTAATAATCACCTTAGAGGTGTTCAGACAAGGACACTCTCTCTTTTCTAGGAAGAAGTAAAGATGTGACAGGTTTTGCTACTGGGCTGAGGGAGAACTTTGTAAAATATTCTCTTTGTTTCTCCCACAAACACACCATCTTCAACTAAAGACCCCTGTCTGAGAGGTGACTGTTCGGCTGCCTTATCCACTCTGGTCAGTGAGTCCACAAAATCATGTTAAAATGTTTCAATAATTTTTACCAAACCAAAATCTTTAAGATTTTTTAAAAAGTAATGGATCATTCTTTCTCCTAAAATACATCAAGACACATTTGCACTCGCACTTCCTACCTAAAAAAGAAAGGAAAGGAAAAAAAGAAAGATCTCTATCTTTAAAAGGGGGGGGGGAGTAAACTCTCCTAAACCTAGAAAATTCTCCTATTCTTATTCGGAGCTCATTTTTTTTTTCTTCCCTGTTTGCCCTTTGAAAAGGAGTCCTGTCACTCAGAAAGGAGCTGTTTCTTCCACCTCCTCCCATCCACCCACAAGCCGGCCCCCCTCAGCCTCGCAGCCTGGCCCTGGCCCACCCCGCGGCCCTCCCCGCACACAGTTTCTTCCAAGTGCTTTTCAAGTAAGAGCCGGAGAGACAAGAGGTGCGGCTTCTCCAACGCGGAGCCAGACAAGTACTTCTCCTCCTGGCAGCGCGCGGCGGACGCAGCCAGCCCGAGGCCGGCAGTGCCTTTGCTGTCAAGAAGCCACACGGTACCCAGGCTGGCGGCCCCTCCCGGCGGCCGGCCCGCGACACGACGCTCGGGCTCGTCACGTGCCCGCGCCCCACGGAGCCCTTTGTTAAGCCCCGCGGTTCCCACGCGCGGCCGCAGCGGCTGGGGCGGTGCCACTGAAGGGATGCTCCCAGCTGCCTCGGGAGCTCGCCGGCTTGGCCTCCGCTCCCCCGGAGGGTCCAGACACCTTGAGCGGACGCCCCAGGCACTTGCAAATCACATTTCCCATCACTTTGGGGGAAACGGACTTGGGCCACCCCTCGTGTTTCTAACGGAAGGCACAAAGGGGAGGGGGAGTTGAGCGGCCCAGGGAGGGCGTGCCTCCGCTCAAGGGTATAACCACTGCGCCCACTTCCCTTCTTGCCATTCCGCCTCACCAGTTTCTCGTCTTTTTTTCTTTTCTCTTACCCTCTGCCACGCTCAGAGGCTCAGTGGGTGGGAGTGTGTGTGTGTGTAAATGTGTGTGTGTGTGTGTGTGTGTGTGTGTGTGTGCGCGCGCGGTTAGGTGGAAATTTCATAAGAATATGTTCTACACTTATAAACTCGCCAGGATGGGGAAGTCTGCTCTCGAGTAAATGCACTGATGGGAGAGTTTAAGCGACTTATTTGGGAGGAAATAGGGGGTCAGATTTGGTCTAAGTGGAACATCTGCAAAACATTCAAGCAGCTTATTCAACAAAGAATCTAGCCATTTATTGTAGAAATAATAAAAAGCCACTAATGATTATGGTTCCCACCCCTTCCCCCAAAAGGCCAAATCCTAATGAAATAATTCAAAGGTAGGCCTCATTTCCTAATAGTGGAATTAAACAACAACAAAAAAGGGCCCAACTCAACTTTCCAACTTTGTCTTCTTAAGGGTCTGGGAACCTTGCTGAGAAATTAGGTAAATAAAAGGCAAGTTGGAATTTCTGTTGAGCTCAGGCTGCAGTGCCTGACTTGCACATAGTTCTGCCTTGAAACACAATTAAATTACAGTAAATTCCTCTTTAAATAATAAAATTTGGAAGACTCTTCAGGATTTGAAGATGTCTGGGGTTAAGTAGCTTTTAAACCGTCAGTTTTTAAATGGCTTGTGCAATGAATAGCTACCTTTAAGTCCTAAAACCATTATAAATATGCTATACATCTGGGTGCCAGTTTATCTCTCCATATTTCTTTTTAAAATGAGGAAAGCATTCATAAAAAGCTACTTGGCACACTTTATTTTAGGAAAGCAGATGTTAATTTTTTCACGTATCATTTTATGACCAAGTACATGTGTAACGTTGGAAAGCATCCAGAACGCCTCTATTATTTGCTAAATGACTGTTAGTTGAGGCATATTATTCTAAGCTTAACCATGGTATAGGTTATATCAATAAAGTAAACATCTGTGATTTTTTTTTAAACCAAGGGAAGGGGATATAAAGAGTTACTATAAACGAGGGGAAAAAAGAGTTTGGGTAGGAAGAGCACACCTGCGTTGCAGCAAATAGCATATTTATATTGTTCGGTGCAAAACAAAGTCCCTCAGTCGGGCACTCGGGAATATTTACATGGCGGGAGATAAAGTTGAAAGCCTTTCCCGGCGTGCCAAATGGGATTCTCCCTGTGGCCTTCTGCGTGGCAAGATAACAGGTACTGAGCGCTCCTGGCGGCGTCGGGCCTTCGTCCGCCGCACCTCCCTCCGGGGCCAGCCAGCCGCAGGCCCAGCCCGAGGGGAGCCAGGCGTTCGGGCTCTAGGAATTCCCAGGCACTGCGGAAATTTCAGCGGGGTTCCCAGCCTAGAAATACGCTCAAGGAAGCGTCCTCATTTGCCCTGCGTCGCTGGAGGACGCCGGCGCCCAGGATAAGCCAGTGGTGTGATAATTAATGGAATACAATATTTATGGTCCGATGTATTGACTCTGAGGCAAGCGTGCCGTGTAGACAGTCCGTGGGGGTCTGACAAACAGGGGGTGAGTGAACAAACATAATGACCCGAGTACTTATGTCTATCCGGTTTACTCACTTAAACCCGAGGTAGGTAACATCATGATAAATATTAATATCCACCTAGACAGCCCCGCCGTTCTCCTCAGCTCGCCCTTCCTGAGCGCTGCCCTTTACAAAGAGGCCAGAGAAGAGGTTTTTAACATAAAATGCTGCAAATATGAAAAATAGGTCACCAATAAAATTGGTCTCAGCATGGAGCGTAATTGCAACAAAGTGCCGCCGAGTAAAACCGGGGAGTGAGCTGGCTGAGGCGGCACAGTCGCGAACCATCTGGTGTGTATTAAAAGTGGTGCTGTAAATATTGCTGAGAGCTAATGCATTATCGGCTTCTATAAGTGCACAGGGCCTGCAAGCTTTCCATATGTTAGAATATGTAGATCGGGTGAGGGTAGAGAAAGGTGTCCTATCAATCACCGGCTTCTAAAGCATTGTTTTGCCCACTCTTTTGTGGAATTTCGGCCAAAAAGTGTAGGATATTTATTCTCATTCTCTCCTCCCCACCCCTCCCTTCTCCCTCTTCTCTTTGCTCCTTCTTTCTCTTTTTCTCTAGCCCTTTCTCCCAGCTCCTTCCTTCCATCCCTCCTCCTCCCTCCCTTCTCTCCAAGGGGATAGGACAGGCATTGCTGACGTCACTTCACATCAGTAAAAGAGAGTAACTGTTTCAGAGAAAGGGAGAAAAAAAAATTCATCTGTTTTTCATCAGTGCTAAAGTTTTGCCTTTTTAATAGAAATGAGCTGCCCAGCCTGAGTACTCCTTCTGTTTTGAAGCTTTTGTGGGGTGGTCAGAAGAGATTGGGAGGTGTTCTTCATCCTGTGAGTTGAATCATTGTATAAGTGGTTCTAATGCCAGAATCAGCTCAGATAGATAAAACTTGAGTAAAATAAGATGCAAACCTGATATCTTCTAGAGAAGATTTCACACCCACACCTACTAGGCAGCTTTCGCCAAGGAGGGTGGAGGGCTTCTGGCTCCATGGCACTTCTGCTTTCAGTCCTGCAGGTTCTTCCCTTCTCCTTGGTTCCTCTCTCCTTATAATTCCGCCCCCCACATACCAAAACCACCACACACAGCACAGCTAATAATTTTCCTGCTGTCACATTA